GATGCCCGGTACCAAAAAAAAAAAAAAAAAAGTTCTGATTCAGAAAATCTACAACAAAAACACAATAAACAAAACCCTAGTCTTTGTGGAGGTTTGCAGCATAGCCTTCCCTATCAGACAAAGTCCCTCGGTCAACATTTATCTTGATTAATCCAACACAGTTCTGCCTGGTCCTCAGTCTTGAGGGCTCATAAAGCTGATGTATTGGTCTACTCTAAGTCTAACACTAAGGCAGTCCTGCTACAACAGGATACCACAGATTGAGTAGCTCCTAGAGAGCAGAAATTTATTTCTGACAGTTCTGGAGGGTGGAGAGTCCAAGAGCAAAGGGCCAACAGATGAAAATTCACTTCCTTGGGACAGCCTTCTTCTCACTGTGTCCTCACATGGTGGGAAGGGTTAGGGAAGTCTCTGGAGTCTTTTTAAAAAGAGCATTAATCCCATTCACCTTTTATGACCTAATCATCTTCCAAAAGTCTGACTTCCAAACACCATGACAAGGGAGAATAGGTTGAAATGTATGAATTTTGGAGAAACACAGATAATCTGTAGACACTGACTTTTTTTATCAGTCCACTAAAACAAAGATTTGCCTCTCCGCCCCACCACCAAAATTCCAGAGACCAATATGAACCAGAATGGCAGTGCTTTAATCCCATTTAAAAAATAATCTGTCACTTGTAATGAATGTCCAGACTGACATGAGCAACTGACTTCCTTCCTGTGGGAAACCTACAGAGGGAGTTAAAATAATCAGAAACTCTCTTGCTGGTAGTGGAATCAGAAAAAGGGCCATTTTGTAGTAGTAAAGAATGACTCTCAGTTAATGTATCATTAGCCATTCTTATAAACTGTTGGAAAGAGATGCCCTTGCCAAGGACTTCACAGTTTTAAAGAAACAATAAAGAATAGTTAAGAAGTTAAGAGCCTGACCTTTAAAAAAGGAAAAAGTGACTCAGATTCCAGTTTCATCATGTTCTCTCAACTCCCTAAGTTTCGGTTTTCTAAAAGAATTTAGGCAAAAACTGAAGTGGCTTAATTTTAATCACTTTACACTGATGATTTCCTAAACCACTTGTAATTCTTTTAGTAAGGAGTCTCAGATCATTATACACTAAATTTTTTTTAAATAATTGTAAACACCTCTGATCCATCAAATCTCTTCTTTCCTACTAGGTATTTGGATTTCTTAATGACACCTCAAATAAATCAATAGTTTTCAGCCACTTTTAACTATTAAAATCTCATTTTCATATTGAGACTTCATCCTGTTAATTCTAAAGTTTCAAATGCACAGTTATTTGAAGACTTTCTGAAGGCCCAGCATAATTCGCTAATGATTCCAGAACAGATACCCAAAATGTAATCCATGTGATGATAGTTATTGCACTTCCGTACAATAAGGGCTTGCACCAGAATGAAAATAAACACTATTACTAAACACAATATGTAGTTCGAATGGAAGAAGAAATAAGCAAATACAAAATGCTATTTGGAATTTCAACACCTTTCAGTAATTAAGAGCGAAAGTAAGAAGAAAACCAATAACGATGAAGAAGACTTAGCAATCACTACCATGCAAATTGACCTAAATGACACAAGACTCAACAAAATAAAAATCAAATTCTTCCAAGCATGCATATAAAACATTTTTAATTGAATGAAATTAATATATAATATGTAGAAATTTATAATATGCAACTAAGACTGCACAGAGAATATACAGTTATAAATATGTTAGTGAAAAAAGCTCTTAAATCTGTGATATAATCTTCTACATTAAAAATATTTTAAAGAGCTAGTTAAATCCAAAATGAATAATAGGGAAATAAAGAGAAGAAATTGAGTAATAGGGAATTAAAATTACAGAAAACACCCAAACCTTTTTAAATCAATAATTATCGAACAACTCTACAATGATAAGAACAAAAAGAGAGGACCCAAATTATCAGTCTCAAAAATAAAAAATAATAACACATCACTATAGAATCTACAAAGTGACAAAATAGGATATTATGAATAACTTTGTGCCAACAAATTCAATAACCTCAGTAAATGATCAACACTAAAAATGTTGCAAATATTAAAAGTACAATGAGATAAATTTATGAACAATCCCATGGAAATACATTCAAACATCTACATGAAATGGGAAAAACCCATACAAGGAACATATTACAAAATTAACACAAAAGGTAATAGAACACCTGGTCAGCTCTTGTGTATTAAGAAAATTGACTTCAAAATTTAAAACCTTTCCCCAAAAGGCTTACCTGCTGAATGAACAAGTGTTTAACTAAGAGATATACAGTATACAGCTCTATTACAACTTGTTTAAAAGAAGATGAGTATGAAGATTAAACTGGATTGTCAACTTGATTGGCTGGAGAGCCATTCAGGGAATTAATAAAAGCATGCCTCTAGGTGTCTATGTGTGTCATAGAGGCACAGCCTTAGTGTCTATATATGGTCCCTTCCTCCTTCCTTTCTGATACTGTCCCTGTGCTTTGCTTCCCAGCAGCCATGAACTTTACTCCACTATACCCTTCCACCATGATATTTCTAATCTGAACCCAGCCAGTCATGAACTGAATCATCTTAAATCATAAGCCAAATAAGCTATTTCCTCCTTTAAGTTGTGGGTGTTGGGTATTGTGTTCCAGCAATGAGAAATTTGACTAATACAAAGAGGAAATTTCCCCAAATAATTTTTTGAAATCCATATCTCTGAAACCAAAACCAGACACAGGCATTACAAGAAAAGTATAGAATGATGTCCCTTAACATAGATGCAAAATTTCCCAACAAAATATTAACAAATCTAATCTAAAAATATATAAAAGGATAATACCTCATTATACTGGGACTTATTTAAGAATACAAAACTAGCTCAACATTTAAAATAAAGTAATATAATTAATTCTATCAATAAACTGAAGAAAACCAAGATATTCATCTAATAAATATGTGTTATATAACAAAACGCATAGTCATTTTTTATAATAATAGCAGCAAACTACAAATAAATGGAAACTTTTTTCAACCCAATTAACAACATTACAAGAGAATCTATGGTTAGTAAAAGTTATCATGAAATATTGAATTGTTTCTTAAATTTAGGAAGATATCAAGGATATTCACACTCCTCATTCCCATTCATGTTATAGTCAAAGCATTAATGAGCTCTGTCAGGTATGATAAAGAAATATAAGGCAAGAAAGGAATAAAGTTTTATTTTCAGACAAAATGATAATGTATAAAGAAAGCCCTTTAAAAAAAAGTTACTAGAATAAGGATGTTCAGAAAAGTCACAGGAAATAATATCTTGAAAAATGTTCAAAGACTTGTACACAAAGGTTGTTAGCAGATTTACTTATAGTGACAAAACTGGAAACAACCCAAATTTCTATCAACAGCTGAATGGATAAACAGAAACCAGAATGTCCATGCATTAATAGACAACTCAATAATAAAACAAACCATAGATATATCAAACAATACTATGCAGAGCAAAAAATCCAGACACAAAAGTATATGTATATTCTAATTTAACTTCTATTAAATGCTACAAAAACAAATCTAATCTATCATGACAGAAAGCTTATCAGCACTGGCTTAGGGCTGGATTGGGGGATGCCTAGGAAGATAGATGTATGAAGAGGACACACAGGTAATCTCATTAATACACTCAGCTGAGCAGAGACACCAGGATAGGTGAAAGATATGTGAATGGAGATTCGTCCAAAAAGGTTTCATTTACCAACAATTTTACCATTCCCAGATGAAACTACAGGTATCTTGGAGAAGAAATAGACCACTCTGACTGTACTGAATCCAACTTTCTGACACACAGAATTTCTAAGTGTAATAACATGGTTGTCGATTTATACCACTAAATTTGGGGTGATCTGTCACACAGTAATAGCTAAGCAAAATAAAGATCCCTAGGGACATCAGAGTAACACTATTAAGAATACAAGAAAAAGAGAAACTCTAAAGCAACTAAAGAAAAAGACATATTACATTCAAAACAATAGCAAACAAAGACTACTAAAGACATCAATAGAAGCTATACGGAATAAAACAAAAAGTCTTTAGATTGGTCACAGTCATTGGCAAAGTAGAATTCTATATATTCTAGGATGAAAATGAAATAGGAGTATTTATGGATAGTACATAAAATTCATCATCAACAGGCCTTCATTAAAAGAAATGCAACAGTAGGAAAATTGATAGAGACAGAAAGTAGATTAGTAGTTGCATAGAGCTTCAAGTGTACATTTCAAATGGGAGGTTTTTGTACTATGCAAATTATATATCAACAATATATCAACAAATGTTCTTTTAAAAGAAAAGAAATTTTAGAACATGTTCTTCAGACAAAAAAAGTGATTATACATAGAATTTCAAAGATGCACAGAGAAGTAAAACAACAAAGTGAGTAAATATATGAGTAAATATGAGTATTGATAGCACAATAATGATGTGGAACGTTACAAGAAAGAAAACGTGAGAATAGTAGGCTTTGTGTTCAGACAGAAGTAAATGGAGAAAAAGGTTCTATGTTCTTGCACTGTTTACAAAGAAGAAAAGAGCCAGGCATGATGGCACAAACCTGCAATCCCACCACTCCAGAGGCTGAGGCAGGAGGATCACTGAGTTCAAGGCCAGCCTGGGCTATATAGTGAGTTCAACAGCGACCTGAACTATATAATGAGACCCTGTCTCAAAAAAAAACCTAGAAAAAAGAAACAACTACCACTTAACATGACTTAGATTAAGAATTCTTTATTACAAATCATACACATGAAAAAGATTTTTATCCATAATATTGGAAGAAATTTACATACAGAATATGAATATACAGAATATGTGAGAATTTTAATCTAGAATATGAAAAGATGTTTCACAACTCAAAAATCAGAAAAAATAACTCAATTTAAAATTTTCCAAAAAAACTGAATAGACAATTCATTCAAGAAAATATACAACTGGCTGATTATTAAATTAAAAGATGGTCAACATCATTAATCATCAAATAAATTTAAATTAAAATCACAATGAGGTACCACCTCCCACTAGTATGGCTATAACCAAAAAGACAGTATCAGATTTTAATAAGGGTGCAGAGAACTGGAGTCCTTGAGAAATCAAGGTGAGGATGTAAAGTAATACAGCCACTTTGGAAAACGGGTTGTCAGCATCCTGTAGAATTAAAAAGACATTTACTGTATGGCCCACTTCACTTAAAAGGAATTAACGTTTACATCTACACAAAAACATGTATGTAAATGTTCATAGCATTATTCATAATAGCTAAAAACTGGAAATAATGCAAATGTCTATGAACTGGTGAAAGGTAAACAAAATATAGACTAGCCATAGAATGAAACAATGAAAAGGAATGAATTAATGCATGCTATGATGAGGTTAGTCTCAAAAATATTATGCTAAGTGAAAAAAGGCATAAAGACTATGAAGTGATTAAATGTATATGAAATATTCATAAAAGGAAAATTAATAAAGACAGAAAGCAGAATAACATTGGAGCCAGAAATTACCTTCATGAGAACACATTTGGAGGTGATCAAAATGCTGTAAAATTGGATTGTGGTGATGGTTGCAGAATTCTATAAATGCCATTCATTGAGTCATATGCTAATGATGGGTAAAATTTATGTTATGAAAATTATATCTCAACAATACAAGAAAATTAAAGGAACAAGATACTTTGAAGATAAAAATCTTAAGTTTTGCCCAGTGGCAGAATCATAGCCAATGAGGTTTATCTGAGACACAATTATTGCTAGCTGAAGATAAAAATCCTAGAGGGAAAAAAACTATATCAGGAGAACATCATACCAAAAGAAATATCACAATATCAGTAGTCATCCAAATAAATACAGTGTGTAAGTTGATGAAAATTTTTCTAATACTCTTCCAAAATACAATTAAAATGTTAAATACTTCATTCCAGCACTATTTTAGAGTATATTCCACCTCTTGTATGTTCACTATTCACTGATATTACTCTTAAAATATTTTTACTATTTTCCAAAACCATTGCTGCAGTGTGGTTCATATTTTCCCCTATTCTAGTTTTTCCTCATTAGTCTTCATAAAGCCTAACAATAGAGAAAGAGTTCTAGCATTTCTATTTTAGAAAAAGAAAACTAAAGTTCAGAGAAGAACAAATTTCCAAACATGACACTAGCAGGTTTCTTATTTAAGGTTATTGAATCCAATGTCCCCTTGACACATTGCTTTCCTGGTAGTAAATTAGATATATTTTTCATTTCAGATACAAAATATAAAATGCAACTATTTATTGTTGATCATTTTCTGATCAGCAAAAAATGAGGTCCCTGTGAGTATGAAAGAAAATTAAATCACACTGGTGCTTGAGTGTGTGTTGATTTATTTTAAATTTGTAGACATCCATTCTTTGACAACACAGAAAAGGGATTAGAGACATAGCCAAACATACTGTGGTCCAGGATTATACACAGAAGATGATACCAAAGGGAGCCAACTTGCCTGAGATAATAATTCAGTAAGGTAGCTTTATCTGTCAGATCATAATTATTATGAACATCTTTATGATCCTGCTTGATACATTAGTGATTCTCCTAATCAGTCTCAAAAGTTATCCATAGGATCTGAGCAAAGCAGCAAAGGAAAAAATATAAATACTTTATGACCAGTGCTGCCCTCCAGAATGTATACTCAAAGTTCAGCTTCTAACTCCTGGGTTCAACTGAAAGATGGATAAAGAGAGATCATCCACTGAGCATAATAGCTACATACATATTATCTACTAGCTACAGATTTTACAACACATTTAGTCCATGTATTCTAAATATAAAAAATAATAATCTAATAACACACTTTCCTGATAACCTAGAAAGATAGGACTAGAGAGAGAAGGGAATTTGGGAAGGAGAGAGATGAAAGAAACAGAAGAATTAAGAGAGAAAGAGAAAGGGATCATGCAATTTTTAAATTATCTCCTTTGTTCCTAGTGCTTGCACTAAAATAAAGTATCTTCTTGCACAGAATAAATTCCTTTTTAAAAGAAGAAATGCAGCACAAAGCTCTTGTGAATAATCAGAAACTGCTACAAATGCTTGAATCATCATCATTTAGGTGGGGTTTTTTTCATTAAAGGCATATAATAGCAATGTGGATTTGCAAACAGTAAAATGTTACAGAATAGGGAGAGAGTATCCCAAACAATTCAAATCACAAGCATTCACAGAAGAGAGACAAGGAGAGACAGTGAAAAACAAACTATGACTCGATATATTAGATAAGACAAGTTTTCATTTAATCATCCATTACTCTGATACAAACATATACATTGACCTGAATCATCATAAACTGGGATGAAGAAAATGAACTGGGAACCCCACCAGATCAGACAGATGTCTCAGCTGAGATGAGTAAAGAAATTTACCTCTATGAGCAAGCCTACATAGTTTATATTTCATGAACCACACAAAATATTGAGAGAAAGTGCATTAGGTAAACAGCTTCCTTATTGCCCAGTACTTAGAAATGTTAGATAACGTGTGAAAAAACTTTCTCTTCCTTCAATGAAATAAGCAAAACTACAGCAAGAATCTAAGAGAAGGTAAGCAGTGATCACTTCACAAAAATATCTTGGTTGCCCAGCATGATTCATGCAGCTCTAAGTAGAAGGGCAGATTTGAAAATAAAGGACAAAAGGAAAACTACCAGTACTGCAACTTCTAAGGCTAATTTGCCTATTTTAATGTGTTTGAGCAAATTTAAAGAGGACTACCCCATAAAAAATTGATAAATGATCAAGGAAATAAATATGTTTAACTTGATTTAAAAATTTTACAATGTACACATCTATCGAATATTACATGATACCCCATTAATGTGTGCAAGTTTTATATTTTATATCAGTTAATAAATAAATTTAACAAAAGAGGACTATACTATGACAATAAAGTTTAGCTTAAAATAACAATTCATCCCATGAGACATGGTTGCTTTAATGGGATAAAAGTTCATTTGTAACATTATTATTTTTTATTCAAGTATAATTTACAAATAAAATTGCATCTGTTTATGGGATTCGACATATCCATCACCTCATATACATACCATTTTTTCTGTGGTAAGACTATTTAAACATTTAGAATGTAATTTCCTAACAAACTTCAAGTACACAATATATTTTTAACAAGTATAACCATCATGCTATATATTAGATCTCCTAAATTTATTTATCATGTCTCACTGGCTCTCTCCCTATTCCACAGTGCCCACCCACCTACATTAGTAATATTATTGACATCTTGGTCCATGTGAGGCAAGTTAAGAGCATTTTAAAATCTGTATGTTACATTAGCAAAAATGCTCCCATGGCATTTGGATTAGTTTTGGTAGTCATAATTTCCTAGCAAGGTAAAGAATGCCTAACCAGGCATTTCTAAAAACAACTTCAGCATGACTTATATTCACTTCTCCTCTATTCTACCTCAAAGTCTACACAAACCAGTCAGAGTTCTAAGTGCTTAGTGCAGTTCCAGTATTGATCAAAGATAAGTGTCTAGTAATTTTCATTCCAGGACACCTTTTTATCAACAGCTATATATATTCAGAAATATCAACTGAAATCCACCCACCTAAGGTTCAAACATAAACATGAATAACAATTATTTAAATGGAATTCATCAACTCTGTACAATCAGGGACCTTTCCCAACCTTCCAATTACCATCAGCAAAAGACTCCCTTCTCCTCCCAGTTTGATTGCCCTGCATAGTTAATCAAACACTTGCCTATTGCGCTCCTAAACAGACTGGCTTGTGAATGACATGCATCACAATCATCTTGAGTCCTGGTTAAAATATATCTTGCCGTGCCCTGCTCCAGACATATTGAATCAAAACATCTAAGAGAAGGCCCCTAGAATCTGCATTTGAGCTCACCCTACCAATGAGTCTTCTGTACCCCAAAGTTTCAGAATCCTCTGAGTCCAGTTTTCCAAATATTCTTGCCACTTCTCCAGTCTGGATGTTTATTCCTGATAACAGCACTCTGACAGCTTCTCTTTCCCTCTAACCCCTTCTCCAGCACATTCTTGTATAAAATTCTCAATATTCCTTATCACAAATCCCTTGTGCTCATGTTTTGGGACAAATGCAGACTTCTAGGTTGATCATTGAAGGACTCCTATGAAAGGACTCTATTGTGTCCAACCCATTAATATTTCTAGTATTCTAATATTTCTCATGGGTCCCCTCAGGGTCCACTTCATCAGCTCAGATCAGAGTAGCTCTCAACTTTGTTCTTTACATGTCCTTCCTTTCTCATCTTCATACTATCTTTGTTTATCTGCTTAAGGCTCTCCCTAATTTCCTGAAGTCTGATATATCTTTCAAAAAGAAAACCCAGAATCATCTTCTTTAAAGGATATGGAATACAAAGTCATAAAGTACAGACTTAAAAAAAAATCCTAGTAGTACCACTCACTAGTAAGTGATTTGGAATAGATGTTTCTAATAAATGTGAAATGACATAGAATTAATTATAGCAACTCAATAAAGACTAATTTCTTCCCTTAATTCTATTCTTTACTCTGTAGTGTGGTCATCATGTGTTTTGTTGGCATATTATCTTTTTATGTAACCTAGTTCTGCTAGAAGTAGGCTCTAATTTTCATGGGAAAGTCATTCTATGTGGTCTTGCTGAGGCTAACCACTCCCTATCATCAATACCACTGAAAAGGCCACCAATTGACAAGTCCAGCAAAGAGAGTGCTCCATCCCACTCCATTCTATTCCCAAATGCACTGCATACACACCAAGCTGAACCACTGGGTTCAGGGATAGACACTCCCTATGGGCCCATCAGATCCATCTCTCAAAATCTCGCTGGACCCTAAAGAAGTATATACTAATCACTAGGATTGCTGGCTATGCCTTTAAACCTAAAGATGCCAGTAATCTACTTTATTACCATGTTAAAAATTTGCCCCCCAAAATTCAGCCAACTTAAAGGAAGATAAGACTAAAATGAGGAATAGCAATGTCTTCTTAGAATCATTTTTCACTTCTGAAACCATCATGTTTGAGAGCTAAGTGTAAATTTTCTACTAATAGGAGACAATGAATTTCTTTTGGATTAGTTGTTTTTTTATGTGAGCCCTGACTAATACAGATTTCCAGGAAATAGAGTGTTACAAGTAACAGACTTAAAATAAGGAGGGAATTAAGTCAAAATAGGTGAAGAGCTGGGTGAAATATTAAATTGCCTCCCTTTACTTTGAGAATAAATACATTATTGTTTTTTTCTAATACTTTTAGTGTGTAACACTTCTATTGTCAGGGAGTAGCATGTTGAATTAATGCATGTAAGAAGGAACCTTGGTAAGAAGAGGGAGGGGAAGAGAAGGGAAGGAAAGGGGACATGAAAAAAATTAAGTTGTGTTGGGGAGGGAGGGGGTTATAGTGATCAAGATATGAAAAGTATGTGCAATTATTAAGTACTGTAAATATGTACAGTACTAATTTAAAAAGAAAATAAGAAAAAAATAAAAAAGAATTAAGATGTATTATGTTCATGTACCAGCTCCCCATGATGAATGAAATCATTATGTACTCTACATCATGTACTAGTAAAAATTGAAATTAAAAAATTAAAATTAAAATCTAGGAAACATGAAAAAGAACGAAGCTTGGCCAGGCATGGTGGTGCATACATGTAATCCTAGCACTCTGGGAGACTGAAGCAAGAGGATCACAAATTTAAGCCCAGTCCGGCAGCTTAGAGATACCTTCATATATATATATATATATATATATATATATATATATATGAAGAGAGAGAGGGGGGAGAGAGAGAGGAAGCTTGTTGTTAAGGAGTTACATAATGAATGATAGTGGATTATGATAACCATAGTTTTTAACCTATTCACCAAAATTCTTTATCCTCTTCCTAATATAAAGCTCATCTTTTTGTAAGTAATTTTTCTTGTGACATTTTCTATTATATCTCCAGTTTCCACAGGGATTAGTACGCAGCTCAAGATGGGCCAATCATAGCACCCTAAAGCCTCATAACATGGACACTTAAGGATAGCACATGATGTAGGCCAGACCAATCTCAACTTTCCTTAAGACTTTAACAACAAATAGCAGAAAAATGGCATCTTTTATTGGAACTGCTAGCTATGAGCTATAAAAATAATATAAGCAACATAATTTCCTTTGAATACTTAAATACAATTCAGAAACATTGCCAGATATTACAGCTAACACACCACAAAGAAAAGGTGATGGATAGGGAAAAATACATGACCCTAGTAGCAACTATTTAACCAAAAGATAGCTGTATCTACTATTCTCCTTAATTATATGGGAGAACAAATCCATCTTCCTTAAATGGATTTGCCTTAAGTTAATTAGGCTAGATCTATCATTTGCAGAGTCTGAATAACACATTTGATTAGTGCTTCTATGCTACCTCACAAATTTTCTTTAGTTCTCTCATGCATACATTCCTTCCAACTGAACAGTAATCCCTTTCTGGAAGAGACTGTGTCATTTATTTCTTTTTTTATCCTCATGGTCCTGATAGAACATTATAATTTCTTAAATGGAAATTCAGGGGGAAATTGAACAAATTAACTCATAAGTATAATAGAAATTCATATCACCTTTTTTGTTTTATGACTGTATTTAATTAGTTTTTTCCCAAAGGACTTAAAGATACATCATTCCAGGGAAAATATCATTTAAAAAAAACCTAAATATATCCAGCTTCTAATGAGTACCTTAGAAACTTTTGAGAAATTTTTTAGCTTTTATATTAAAAGCCCATTTCAAATATTGTAATTCTTCTTGACACATGACTGTTTCAAACTCACAAAATAACTCAACTATATAACAGTAATTACAGTACAATCACCAGTGTCACATGACAACCATTTTCAGTGCCTTTAAAAGCATATATTTTGACAGTAACAGCTACAGTTCACTCCTCGTTTTGTGTTATGATTTGAGAAATGTTTACTGTCATGACTCTTCTCCCTTTTATATTCTTCGTTTGATCATTATCATTAATATCAAAAAGGTCTTATACTAAAAACTAGTAAACTTTGTAGAATCACAAATTGTCCAATTTTGAATCCCAACACATTTACTGCTGAATAAACCACATTAGAGCAGAGTAACTTAAGAAGATCTTATATATGTCCAACTTTTTTTTACTTTTCTACTTCTAGAAGTAAGGGTATAATCAGAACACTGAAATATTCTTAGGTTTTTTTCCATATAGAAACTAAAGAATGACTTTGAGGTTTGATATTCCACTAGTCAGGGTCACCCGCAGGAAAGAGAATACACCCAAGATCATTCAAATAAAGAGATTTTGATAAAGAGACTCATAAATGCCAAGTAGTATAGGCAGGATAAGAAAATCAACAAGGGATGTAGAAGCACCCAGAGGCCAGCATTAGTGAAAAAATATCATCACTGTGATGTGTAATGGAACCAGAAGAAACACATTAACTTAGCCCTTGAACCTGGAACCATAGAGGAGGGATGTCCTGAGAAAGTTGTAGTAGCAGAAAAATATAGCACTTGCCGGAGATGGTTCAGGAAGGACTCTTCTTCCTTTCACTGCATCTCTTTGGAGAAATTCAACTAGAGGTAACCAACAAGAAAATCGGGACGGGAAGCAGTTCATAGTGGTCATTCTTCTGAGACACAGAACCAAGTACAGAAAAGTAAAACTGTGTCAAGAGGGGTAGATAAAGATGGATATAGAGTAACTAGATATACACCAAGGAGTATAGTCTTGATCTATGGGAATCCCCAAGGAGAAAGAATTGATGGTTCAAATTTTTCCCACTGTTTCATTTCACTCTACTCCTTTTCTTCACAGTAACATGGTTAGATATGTTTAAAGAGGACTGGAGTCTGTAAGAATGACCAATGATAGAGCGCATTCATTTTTGTGAAAATCAAACTAGCATCAGGGTGTTGCTTGACTTCCTTTCATCGCATACAACAGGCTTCCAATAAAATGCCTTGAGAGTCCTCCACTCAGAGGCTGTGTATCAGTTTGTCACTAGAGGACCTTAGCAGTCAGGAGTGAAGACAGGGCGGTGGTGTCTGGTGGCTGTCACACCCACGGGGTAAGTTTTTGCATGTTTGATGGTCATGCTGCACTTCTTTGGTTGCTGCTTATTTCTTTCTGGCCTTTTCTCCTGCCTGCCAGTTGTGCCATTCATTCTCTGCACTGTGCTATGTGGGTTATCTCATTGATTTTACTTCCTTTATTGTGACAGATTTTGCTAAGATAAAAATTACTCACAGTGGTTCCAATAATTTAAATTTACTCACTGGTCAATCTTTGGCAATATCGGTGTCCCTTTTTGTGCAACAATGTGAAGAGACTGGAAAATGTGAGTCTTTTGTGTGCTTTAGTATCTGTTTTAGTCTGTGCAGGCTGCTATTACAAAATACTATAGAGTAGCTAGCTTATAAATAGCAGAAATTTACTTATAATTTCAGAAATGGGGAAGTTCAAAATCAAGGCTTTGGCAAATTCAGTATCTGGTGGGGTTTGTATCCTGGATAACAAATGGTGCCTTCTCACTCTTCCCTCGCATTGTAGAAGAAACAAGAGAGCACCCTCAAGTCTCGTTTATAAGGGCACTAATTCCATTCACAGGCGATATGAGCATTGCCCTTATGTAGCAATTTCATTGGATTAAGGAATACCCAGATAGCTGGCGGAATATCTTTCCTGTGTGTGTGAGGGGGGTTCTAGAAGAGATCAGCATTTGAATCAGAAGACTGAGTGAAGAGCAGCCCTCACTGGTGTGGGTGGGCATCATTCAATCTACTGCAATTCCAAAAAGAATGAGAAGGTAAAAGAAAGGTAAATTCACCTTTGTAGACTGGAAGTTCATCCTCTCTTGCCTTTAGACATCGGAGCCCCTCTTACGTATGACTCTTAGACTCTAGAACTTACACAAGTGTATCTCTGGTTCTGAGGCTTTCCAATATGGCCTGAATTACACCACCAGCTTTCCTGGTTTTCCAGCTTGCAATGGCATTTTGCAGGACTTCTCAACATCCACAATTATACAAACCAATTCCAACTCTCATAATAAATCTAAATATAATAATACAAAATATTAAAATAATGATATAAAACATTATTCCTATCAACTCTGTTTCTCTGAAAACTCTAAAATGAGTGTTGTCTGCCTTCATGACACAATAATCTCCCAAAGCCAAAGCCCCATTTTGTAATACTGACCCCATGGGGGTTAGAATTTCAGTGTTAGAATTTTGGAAAGACAAACATTGAGACTATAATAGTAACCAACTCCCTTTCCAGTCTTATTTGTATTTCGAAGGATGATTCTGACTTCCTGTTTTTAACATTCTTATCTCTCAAAATCTACTACTTTACTTTTGCAAAGTAAACCCTTTATTTAAATCAATGTGTTGGCTGTTTACCTTTCCTCTACCCAAATAAAATAAAACAAAATAAAATACTTCAGCCCAAGGTAGAGTTTGGACAGAACATTATCATATTAGGGGACTTACATGACGGAGCCGGCCGTCACTAGTCGAACGGTACCTGAGAGGAGGGGTGAGGATGAAAGAAAAAACACACTTCAAAAGAAAAAAAAACAGAGTCGTCCAGGCTCCTAAGACCGAGCTACGAGTTTATTTTTCTCTTCCCTTTTATACAACCCGTGAGTTTGTTACAGGTGAATTTGGTTGTTACATCATGACCCTTATCCAGGGACACCTGCTTCCCTGCTTTCCAGTCCCTTGGCAATTCCCCACCCTCATGGGCCTTCCCGTTTCTCGGGGCTACAGAACGTTCATCACATTCCAGGGCAATCTCTGAAGGTAAACATCCAATTTAGGTAAGGACGCGGTTCCTCATAACATAGTCTCCATACAATGGAGGGTAAGATTCAAAATGGAGTCTCCTTAGCTACCACCGCTCCCCACACTTACAGAGAACTCGTCTGTGCCTAAGCATCTTTAGGGATTTTTTTTCACTCAATTCAATTCATTAAACATTTATTCAACATTATGTGGCAGATACATAATGTTGTCCTTAAATTACATGCACTTTTGGAAACAAAGCAAATAATCTTTAATAGAATAATAGTATCAGGGGAGTTTACTTGAAGTGTGGAAATAGAAAAAACAACAGCCAGGAAGCTGCAAGAGAAATGACTAAAGGAAAGGGAGGAAGATAGACATGGTTAGCCAATAAATTTTTTCTCAGGGATTTTCTTTACATTCAAGTATTGTCCTTGCTGGATTACATTGCCTTGGCATTCTTATATTCTCCCCAGATCATATCCCTGGGCCTGCTATAGCAAACAAAATGATTCTTCTGACATAACAAGGCAGATAAAAAATGTGATGAAATAGGAAGGACAGAGACTATGATGTGCAATAACAATGCCGGTGGCCCAGAGGTTTATAAATTGCTTCCTGGAGTTTGCATCACAGCAATTTTCACTCACTTTGAAGGTTTCTCAAGGGCAAAGCATGTTTTCTTCTCCTAGCAAACAATTCCACTTGCAGCAGGAATAAGGTGTACTGTGTATATCCAGACACCAAAGCTAATAAAGCAAACCTGATAAGAACAGGTTCGGAATTGAATCTCTTCCAAATTATCTTGTTCTCTCCACTGGGTAAGAAGCACTTAGTGTATTAGTCACACATTAGCAGACTAGGCATGCAGAACTCATCAGTAAAGAAAACACAGATTTAAGTGAACATCATAAATATGGGAATAAAGAAAAACATCAATAAAAGTCAGGGTTTTTTCCTCGCTCACTTTTACATTATTAAGGAAAAGGTTTGATGACCTTCAGTCTGTTCATTTCAAATAAAGAAGAGTAATAAAGACACCTACCAGTTAACACCACTAAAGCTCTCTGAGGGTATATTAAAAGATGATTCTAAAGTGAATATTACTGATATCTTGGCAATGGCCATGTCACTCTTTGACATCTTTCCTAGGGAGGTGTCTAGATGGTCATGTTAAAGCATATTGGACCCCACTTCAGTAACCACTGAAAGTTAAAGTTGATCCAAGTTTAACTTGTGCTGGGAAATACAACTGTGATGAACCAAAAATTGTCAAATCTCAAGATATACCATATATTACATATATTTGTCATAGAAGTACTATTAGTAATATAAAACAAAACAGAAAATAAAGAATTAAACCAACTTTGAACAAAGATAAAAAACATGGATTTTGAACCCTTTTATTTTAGATATGACATATTAGGCCACTGCTTCATCAAATATTTTTTGTTTTTCTTATTCTTGAGAACTATTTGTAAAATCATACATATATAGAAACTTGCTGTATTATCCCTAAGAAAAACTAAGGCATTTAGCATCATGTCCCCAAAACGTCCCTTCTTATATTCCCAAGACTCTTATCAAGTCAACGGACATTATAAACACATAAGGACCAGGGTATCTATGAGACACTGAAAACGGGTCACATTAGACTTATCAATAGAAGTTGGCTTCCTGCCTGTATGCTATCAACTCTTCCAACAAGTAATGGGGATACAATGGAACAAAGCATACGAATAATGTCACTGCTGCGTAGTTTACTCGATAAAATCCTCTCCTTCTCTACAAACTGGGTTGAGAACCGAGCTGTGCCCACTGGTACAGTCCAGCCAGCCACCACTGAATATTTCGAGTTCTTCCTAGCAATTTCCTGGTGATCTTGCCCACCACCCTGAGACTTTCTAATGATTAATTAGTCCAGCGTGTGGTTCTCTCACAAGCTGTACCCAGGAAAGAGAGAGAGAGAGAGAGAGCACAACATTGAGGGAGTGAAGAAGGGAGGGAGGGCGAGAAGGCTTGATATTGGCACTTTCCGCTATTATTTAATATTGTCTGCTATCAACGGCCAATACTCACAAAATATTTTCACATCCATCCTTAAAATGCAAACTAAAATATACTTTAACTGCTATTTTTCACAGGGAAGATTGGAAAATATTTTAAAGATCAGTAATACTCAGTGTTGGTGCAGATGTGAAAAACCATCTGCTGCCCTGCATTTGCCTTGGGAAAGGGGAAAGGGAGGTGGGAATGAGGATACAGGTGAAAACTCTAAAAAAGTATTTGCATTGCTTCCAAAGAATACCATTTCTAGGATTTTATCTAAAGGAAATGACCACTGACATGGTCAATTGTCTAATGTTATAGTATCATGTATAATAATAACACCTTACTCAGCATAAGAAGCAAGGCAGCTCTCCAGGGCCCCTCCTATAAGGGTTTACAAGTCCATGTATCCCAACCTCATTACCTTGTGGGCTCTCAAAGGCCCCACTTCCTCATACCATCACATTAGGGTTTATATTTCAAAATTGGGGAAAGAATGATACAAACATTCAGATCATAGCAATAAGGAGATATGAAGAAAGTATGACATGCAATAAACACTGTGTGGTCTACATATATAAGAATATGAGGAGGGCACAGGGGTTATACAGGTACATAAAGAAGTGAGAATTGCCACTCCAATGACATTCTATCTACAACAAAGTGACAACAAAAATAACCAGTTTCTTGTGTTCTCTATGTGCCTGAGCATGCTGTTTTTCCAACTCTAATCTCCAATCTACAGAGAAAGATGAAGCTCCAAGAGATTAAAATATTTGCTTAAAATCACACAACCAGCAAATGGTAAAGGTCAGCTAAAATTGTGCCTTCAATGGAAAGCCTTTCCATGATGTTACCCTTTTATTCTTATGGTCTACTCCAAAAGTATTGAGACCCTGATGCCCTGACTCCTTCTAATAATCTACCTTTCATGAATTAATATAACAAGTCTTGTACTGCTTTTTATTTTATATTCTCATTAAGTTATTAATATCGGACATATTTGAGTACCTATAATGTTTCTGTTCTCCAGAATAATCACATTCACTGTCTGGTAAAAATTCTCACATTATCTAACCAGTGCTACATATATAGAAAGAATTTTATAACATATGTTGATCGGTTCAGTAGTTCTTCCTTGAACTTACCTTAGACTCACCATTCAAGATCAAACCAAATCCCATTTTGCTTTTTCTTTCTATGCATTTCTTTAACTTTATATTCACTATAAACTTTCTTTTATTACCCGTCTTGACCTGATCTGAAATTGCTCCGTTACTTTGATTCTTTTCAGTACATTTGTCTTCACAAGTTTTATTTGCCTTTTGTGATATAGACTGGGACTAGAACTGCAACAGTATTTTAACATGGCACATTTTACTTTTTAAATGAAGGCGAATCTAAGAGAAGTTAGGTAAAGAAAATTCATAAAATGATTTTGTGTAAATACTTGAAACATCCAGCATCCCAAGTGATACTGATTCTACAATTGATTCAAAATCTAGTAAAAAGTCCCTTTGTATTTAAACTACATAGAGTAGATTCAGATGCTTGAAGCTGAATTTGTATCTGTATATTTAACTATTAAAGTAAAATATAAAGAATACTTCTGAAATATTATTTAAATGTGGTTAATTTTATATGTTGCTATTTTTTTCAAAACTCAAATGTAACAGCGGACAGAAACTTTCTACATTCAGATATTTTTTTTCCTTCCCAGAAATATTCATTTCATATGACAGCTCTCTCTTATAAACAGAATCACCTTGAGTTTTTTCAAGTTCATGTTGAAAAAGAATAAAAGAGAAGCCATTCAGTCTTCACCTCAGATGTGAGAAAGTAGAAAGCAGGAGAATCTTGCATTGCTTCTCAAGTTGGTCTCTGCCATTATAAATGTACAATTAGGAAAATGTCAGAATTGCTACATATTATTGCAACTGAAGTATCCCCTTTCAGGGGCCATGTCCTCCCTGTAGTCACTAAAGAGTCAAAAACATTTTTGTTTGCAGAATCTTAAGAAATATTGCCCTCGTGCTGTCCATAAGTATTTTGGGAGCAGACTCAACAACTCAGTTAAACTCACATAAATAAATGTATACACAAGTGCATAACAGTTGTAAACACAGCTTCTATATGACCACTTTGTATCATCACTTCCTTAGTTCATCGATTATAATGAACAACTGCAACATTATGAGATAACAAATTCTTTGTCCTCAGAGATGCTTTCCATCAGTAATTCAGTGGGGTTTTTTTTCCTTCTCATGAGCTTTGGCATCTTGTAATATAAACACCCCCCCATTACCACTAAGTTCAAGGTGGATTTAACCAGAACTATAACGTTAACACGAGAATTACCTTTTATGATAGTCAAAATTTCATATATCCTTCTTACCAAATGAAAGAAGTGTCTAGCTGTCTAACTACATATTAATCTTAAAAGCTGACTTCCAAAAAGGAACGTCACTCATTCCCAGATGACCTATCCATAAGTTATAACACACAAGATCTTAAAGAATAGAAAAGTCCCATCTATAATGACAAAGAGATGGCAAATATAAATTCAGGGGAGGTTTGAAATAGGCATTCACTTCAAACTTCCATCTCCCATACTATTATTCACTGTAACTTACTCATATTTGGGTTCAGTAATCCCTTCTTTATTGAGCTACAGAAGATGCCCAAAATTCGTATGGTGAAACCTAATTATCAGGGCACAGTCTTGGGACATAGGAGCTTTGTGAGATGATTAGGTCATGAAGGTAGAGTCTTCCTGAGTGAGATTAATG